ATCACATTAAATTAATTTTAATGCCAATTAAGGCCTTAATTTAAAAAAATAATAATTTAATGACCCTCAGAAACCCTGTCCATACATTTCTGCAACGTTCTAAACTCTCACAGAAGAAACATCTGATGTAGCTTGTAGGTAAAAGCTGACAGCAATATTCTACATTTTATTTTCGTTAATCTTCAGACTCCCCTGCAAACGTTTTAACAGACAGTTTTCTAACCCCATAGATAAAACCGATCCAATTGAAAGTGTTAAAGAAGCATTAAAGTGTTTGGTTGTTTCCTACCTGAGCGTGTGTTTAATGGCCAGGCAGACAGCCGCATATCTGTGGCGGAGCTGCAGAAGGAGCAGCGGATCCGTCTGATCCAGATGAGGGAAGCGAATCTCCACGCCTGGACCTCCATACTGAACAGCATCATCTGTGCAGAACCACACGCTTCGTATGAGAAACACAGCAAACGATTACCGGACTAGCTTCTCTCTACTGACTCAGGCGGATGTTTTCAACATGAGCTGCTAATAAAGATACAGGTGGGATTAGAGGAGAAGGGCGATTAGAGATGATTATTAAATCCTTCATTAATCTGCCATTTTATTCAGGTAGTTTAAACATGCAGGCGCTCATTATGGACACCTGTGACAAACATGTCATATAAAATGTTGGATTTTATTTTTAAATCTTAAAGATCAGAGAAATTCCTCCAGAGTGGCCCCACAGAAATAAATACTTTTTAAAAAATGATTCAAACTAGTGATGAAAATTATGGCTCCGTATTCAGGCCATTCAAACATGGAAAAATATCATTTTGAATTTAAATTTTTGAGTTTAAAATGGCATATTTACTAGAATAAACATGCATATTTCCGAGATCCTAAACATGTAAATTTATAAGAAAAACGTTGCAGAATTTAGAGAATAAAGATGCAAATTTACTAGTTTGGCTTTTAGGCAGCTGAATGAACCGGCGCAATCCAAACTTTGAACAAAAGTTTCACTATTGTCTGATGGATCACTTATCTGAGCCGCTTCCTCCTCATCGGTCCCTCCCTCTCCGCCTGAATCACCATCATCAATACTTTGAAGCATTTCTAAAGCCTGTTTCGCTGTTAAGATTTCTCCTGAAAGCCATTTTTTAACATTAGCCAATTAATAGAGCCGTCAAAATGACGACTGTGGGAGATCGAGGTAGAATTAACCATGTTTATTCATTATGTTTTTATTTTATTAGAAAACCACGTGAAAATGAAGGAAATATAGAAACAGGAAAAGTCAGTTAACATGAGCAACATATGATTAATGTAAATAAAGTTATTTCCT